GTTTGGAGTAGTGCCTCCTTTAACCGGTGCTCACTCTTGTTATTCTGGATCTGCGATTCAAAGGCTTTCTTGTGCTCGTACATTTTGTTTCCGAGCACATTGTAGACCTTGGCGATTTCAGTGGTGACCGTGAGCTTCATTGCGACGATTACCCATTCACGTATGTGGTCCGGGACTTCTCCTGGAGCGGACTGTCTGAGAGCATCTTCTAGGTGCTCGAATTGGTGTCCCTCAAACTCCCAGATGGGTGGGACATAGGCTGGTACAAGTGATGGTGTCGGGGATGCTGGTCCTCCGACTTGTGATGCAGAATCCTGCGGTCCTAGTGCAGGTTCGGGTGAATTGCGCTGCGAGGCGCGTGGGGTACTTCCGTCGTGTGCTGACTCGACGTTTGTATGAAGAATGTCATCCATTCATTGCTTGAACGTGGATGCGTGCGCACGATCGGCTGACTCCATTGTGATATAGGTAAACTAATACAAAAAGTGCAAATATCTCACTTTCGAGATGAAGACCAGAGCCTTGGCGATTTCCTGCAGCCTTTCTTCCTTTCCTATCTGCTTGAAACTGATTCCTCCTATCTCCAGACAGACTTTGTTGATAACCTGCTTCTCGACGAATGTATATGTGCACGTCCCTGTGTGTAGGTCGGCGCAGACTTTATCGAGCTCTGTGGCGAGGCTAAAGATGGGTCCTTGGTGCTCGTCCTTGAGACGATATGAGAATGCTCCTAATATGGGTTAGAGCCTGAAGCGGGTAGCGTCCACCTGCTTCGTAAGGGTCTCGATGTGGATCGTCGGCCTGACTCTGGAAGGGAGTGGGCGGATGGGACGTGCGATGGTGTTTGTCTTTATGAAGTTGGGTAGGGGACGAGTTGGAATGGGAGCAATGACAGGGGGAGGAACTGCGTTGGAGGTGATAAGCTCTGGGGGTGGTGCCGGCTTGCGACCACCAGTGGTAAGACGTCCCTTTCTGGGCTTGTAGCGTTCGAGCGGTGGGGTGTGATCGCGTGGCTTGCGGATGATTCCGCGCTTTATGATGTGTGTGGTATCTACAACCCTAGCTGCTGCTCGCTGCCTGTCTGTGGATGATGCACCTAGCGACGCAAGTGTGAGGAGCCTTCCACGCTCCTTGTTGGTTTCCTGACGCTTGTAGTGGGCGTCGAGGTCGATCCTAGGGGTGGCCTTGCGCTTTGAGGCTTTGGGCAGCTCAGAGTCTTGCTGAGGCTCACGCCGGGTAGAGATCGGATTGGAATGTGTGTCAAAAAAGCCGCGCGCTACGGCTGAAACTGCTTGCGCTGAAAATATGTGGCCACTTGTGTTAGACACTAAGCAGGGGTGCAGAAAATGTCAGATTGTTTCTAATGTCACGGTAACACTGGACAAGAGATCAAAAAGACTAAAAAGGGACAGTCACGTGGAACGTGCCGCCCTGATCCCCCTGATCCTAAAGATATCCCCCTGAACCCTATGTGGCGCAAGAGCCTGTTGACTTACTGGTCAATGTTGGCAGACGCAGGAAAGGGTGAGAGATATATGATGGAGCTGGTGAGCTCAGTGGGTGCTACAGGTAGTAGACGAGGAGAAACAATCTGAGGTTTCGTCCCCTACATGGCTGGTCTTATATACACGTACAGTGGGCTATCTTACCTAAGCTACCTATCTACGGGTATAAGCAAATGGCCGTACATGAAACAATAGGATGTCCGGAAGTAGAACAATAAGTGGGAAGATCGATGGTTGCCGCAGTAATGCGTGTGCACATCGTGCCTATCTTAGTTTCCCTTTTGTTCTCCGGTGTGAACATCGTACCTATCTAGGCTTCTGGCTAAACTAATAGGAAGCGGAAGGCCGATGTATAACAATAGTCCTTGTTCCCTTTGTTCCCAAATGGGTGCCTCTATTGTATCCTGGAATAGACAGGTCCGACCGTATCATCCACGGGTCTGGACCATAACATGTGATGTGGACTTATCACCTGATCTCTACGCGTCGCGTCTGTGGCTGAGTGGCGTGAGATATTGGTGAAGCACGTGATCTGCGGTGTGAGAAAAGTCACGTGCGGACTTTGTGGTGAAAATCTGTGACAAAGCGAGGGTAGTGTCACAGTATTAAGTGGCACCTTTCTTTTTGCACCAATAAAGTCATCATTCGGCAACCACAAGTGGTTATTCAGACGCCAACCTTCATATTGGTCTCACAAAGTGGATACTTAGACAAACAGCACAATACCACCACATACATTGCGGATATAACTGTGTCTACCACATGACCACCAAGCGCCCATGATTCAGCCACCCAGTCACGTGACACTGGCCACTTACCCTATTCGGAAGTTATCAGGTGTTGGTCACGTGACACCAGGCCACTTGCTCAGAACAGAACTTTTTGGTCCACAATAGGCTTATCCGTGCTCATTGGACCATCAAGCTAGCAAGCACCCAATTTGCTGCTCAATAGCAGCACCAACTACATGGCTGCCAAATAGTAGCACCAGCATTAGAATATGCGCTATGGCAGAACCCCCATTGGCCACTCAATAAGTGGCACCACTTCAGCCACTCAAATAGTGGCACCACCTTCAGGCAATTATCTCATTGGGTAAAGTAGGATTACCTTGGCGTATCCACGGCCTTTATAGATAGTTGCTATAGCGAAGTCCAGAACCATTACTGGTTTTGGCAATATGTTCACATGTAGACAGGACAGGACCCCAGTAAGTACACCATAGTTAGGGTACCCAGGGTCCACCACTACATGTATATAAGCACATGAGGATCTAAGGGAAGACCTTAGATTCATTCAACTATTGTATGCGGCCAGCAGGCCAGCTCCCCCCTTTCACCTTTTGTGCAAGGCCATGCATTGGGGCTTTGCCTTGATTGCTGGTTGTATGCCACTGTGCGCCATCCTCAGCCTAGCCCTTGTGGCAGGCTTTTATGTTGTGGATTTATTTGTGCAGGTCACACAAGCAGACTTGCCCTTAATTGGTTTAAGTGCTTTGTGCTTTGTGACACCTTGTTGAGGTCACTGAGACTTGCTGGGGTTCACTTTTGGCTCACTTTTGGTTGCTTGTATTCACTTGCTGAGTGAGCAACATGCAGGAAGTGTCAAGTGAGCATAAGTGAGGACAAGCGAGAATAAGCGCTCGACGTCGACAATTTCACTTGGCCTGCCAAAATAAGGTTCAAGTGAACCACAAGTAACTTTTGTAAGAGATAAGTGAATAAGTCAAGTGAAATTGTTAACCGTCGTCCAAGCACAGTGGCCCATGCTCTCTTCGTGTGTGCGTAACGTCATTTTCTTTCTGAGATGACTTATCTCAGGGTGAACCAGCATCAAAGAAATCTATGCGCTCTGAACATTCATCTCACTAAAAGCCAGCAGGCTCAACTTGCATCTTGCGAGTTGTTCGCATGATCGGCATATGCAATATGGTCACTGCTCTTGCACCGTGCGTCTCTCAGTGATCCCTTTGCTTGAACCTGTTTCTGATGTCATTTGTCTGTGCTTTGATGTGTGTGTGGCAACCACTGGAGCTGGAGCTTTAAGCTTGAAGGCTAAGACATGGTGTTTTTGCTTGTGCATTCAAAGAGTTGAGTGATTGCATCCTACCATGTCCTGAAGGTCCTAATGCGCACATTCTAACTGCAGAGATACAGGCTACATGCATACCCAGTTATTCAAATCTTGCTTTACTGTCAAATTGACAGCCCATCAGACACCCCATCAAAAGGTTTCATGAGTTCACGCGCTGTGAGGCTAATTGATTGTCAGTTTCCTTCACATATTGGATGAGATTCAGTGTGTCACGGTCGTTGTCCTTTTTTGAACCTGACCTGATCAACATGCACATTTTGAATCAGGAACCCCGACTCCTTCTGCTTTGGCATCGGAGTCATTGGCATATCATGTGGGGTGCTACCCGATCTGAATCATGACTGCATGTTATCGCCTACAAAAGCACACCACATATTCATTGCCTCTCTGAGTCCAAGCAATATTCTCGCTTTGCAGGCAAGGGGAAGCACCACATGTTATCAGTGAACCTGAGCCTGAGGTGACGCACTGGCCATCTCGACCTATTCTTTTCGATAAATGGGCATTTCCCACTCTATCTGTGTCTTCGTTGAGGAGCGGCATTCCATGATGAGCAGGAGTATATGGAGGCACATTGGATGACATCCAATGAGAGCAGCGCAAAGTTTATACAAAGCATGCAGGTCCTGGTGCTCCGCTCTACAACTGGCCACTCGCCACTCACCACTGATCTATCAGATATAACCCACCGAGCACGATTTGCAGGTTCTTGCATGTGCATCTGTCTGCAATCATAATTCACTGAGCGACGCGGAGAGTTTGAGATTGGTTTGGGTGACCAGTGGGTCTACTGGGAAAGTTGAGAGAGTTTGTATCTGCGCCCATAGTGTTAGGAGTGGATCTTCGTAGAGGCAGCTCGGCGCGATTTGCTGGTCACCCATATGCATGACAGGAATGCCCAGAAAGACATGACATCTTGCCTCATCTGCTGTGGGCACGTCGTGGGTACTCCCCATCCATCATATCCGATGTTCTGTGGAGACCTGCACAGTGGGTCTCAGTGGAGGCTCAGGGTAGTGGGCGCAACATGTGTCCTCCATCCATCAGCAAAAAGTCCGATCGCCAATCTGGACAGAAATGGTAGTCAGCACCACTGCCGTATTGCAAGAGCAGGCATTCACAGATATTGTCAGAAAATCCTCCATAGGGTCCGGTGCTGCCAGGCCTGCTCATTCCCAGTCAGGTATGTATTTTCTGGCACATAACTGACTGCTGGTCATTAGATGTGTGCAGATATTTTAAGGCAGGATTGACATGTAGAAGGCTGTCTGAAGCATATGCGCTGCATATCTAAAATCCAATGCTACAGTGCGGGAGGCCATAATATTTATAAAGAGAGAAATATAATTTATTGTAAAGTAGACGGCGTAATGTATCATAATGTAATATGGAATCAAACTGCAGAAAGGCCTGGTACTATGTGCATAGGAGTTCAGACTCACAATGTGGCAAAGAGGATGTCAGCATTGTCATCATCCTCATCTGAAGCATCGCTACCAGCCCAATACTGTCGCAGTACTGGTCATGATGTCACTGTGGCGCATAGCGTACCGTTAGCTCAAACTCCATCAAATATAGTCATGCATGTATATAAGCCTTCACTCTGGTTCGATTCACTGAGTCAGTCCACTTTCCTCACAGTGCTGACAGTCTCGACAAAATCCCACCCCTCCACCACTGCATCGCCATCTTCCACTTCATTTTCTTCATCGATGATATAGTTGAATTCGTGACGTTTCTCGTCCTCAAAGTTCTCGTCAGTTGTGAACAACAACTGAAACTCAAAACCCAAGGAACAGATGCTGAGCTTACTAAGCACACAGATGAGGAAAGAAATGTGCTGCAACTGTGACTGCATCACGTTTCTTCTCCTCGTCAACATCTCGTCATCCGCTTGCATTGGGGTTTTCTCATTACAGCTTGTTTTCACAGGGTTTGTTCCTGTCTCTAGATAACATGACTGAAAGAGTGCAGCTGCATGCCACCAGAAGGAAGTCACCCAAGACTTAGCAAGCAAGCGGTATCAAGCCGTTTGGTCATACCGGGGAACCTCACGCTGATCATTGACCTGGACGATGCTCTCGAGCATCAATGCATCGTACACAAATACGTTCATATGGCTGCTTATATGGCCTTTGTCAGGAAGGTGCTGAGGGAGGACGGTATGCAGGGGGACCCACGAACGTAGGCCGCGCAGAGCCACCTTTGTCCGGCATGCATTCACTAGCTACATGCATGCAGATGAGTGTCTTTATCAGCGTGCTGCCCGCTGCACAAAGGCGCATCCTCCCCCTTCACACAGCATCACATTGTTGCCTGTCCATTGTCACTCATGCATGTTGACAGCATGCGGACGAGTAGCGGTGAGTCTTTCAAGGGCATGCCCAGCTGCTCCTGCATACTTGCTCTGACGTCTGGGGCCACGCACAGGTGTCCTGATTGCAACCACCTTGCTGCTTTGTGGGAGCTGAAAGGGTGGATCTCGGAGACAACTACTCAACAAGGCCACATGCATCATAGCTGAATGGGTACGTCATGGCCTTGTGGGAATTCCTCAAGCTGCAGACTTCCTGATTGCCAAGCAGACCTGCCTGTCGGTGATCAAACAAGGGTGCAGGGGCAGAGCAGCCTGCGCGTGATTTGAGACAGGTCATGTTCACTCCTCCACATGCTATTAAGATGCATGAATGGCTGCGAGAAGGGGGTGCTGGGTAGAGTGGTCCAGTGTCGCTAACATCTGTTTGTTTGCGCATCATCGAGGTCCATGGATGATGTAAGGAGCCATAATCATTCAAGACGTGGGCGCTCGCTCTAGATGACTGAAGAAGGAATGCCAAAGGAGAGCCGATGGACATGACTTCGCAAGGCTCACATCCACTTGTTCGCATGCCGTCAAGGTAAGTGAACAGTGGAGAGGGTTCTCCTTGGCCATTGGAGTGTACCCAAATCTTGAATGTTGAAGGGGCAGAAGAGTTGTGTGAGTCCACGCTGATACCATTCATGCGTGTGATCTTTTAAATATAGATCGCATATTCATGTCGTAATGATAGAATGAATTTCTATTAATCCTAACGATGACTACTATGTGCTGGCTAGTCAATGATTTGTCTTCTTGTGCAATTATTTACCTGTACTGCCAAATTTTCACCTGAGGGTGTGGTGCATTGCCCAGACATCAACTGACAGATGAGCCATTTTCTGCATTCTATCTGGCAGACAGGCAGCCTATCTGTACATTACCTGACGACATGGAAATATTGACTATCATCGGCTGTCCGATGGTGGCAGGCCTGGCCCGATGATAGTAGTCAGACCCTCAGAGGTTACAGATCTGACTTATCTGTCGGTCACCTGGCAGGTGGGGTAGTCAATAGCAGATAATGTACGTTGGGCGTAGTCAGGCCCAGATCGGTGGTCGGACTTTTTGCTGATGTCTATGGGCACCTGCGTCACCTCCGTGTGCCAGGATACCACAGAGCATGGGAGGCTGCCATTTTCATTCCAATAGGTACCGGTTATGCGTGCCACCCTTGGGGAGAGCCTCTAAGTGAATCAACATCGGTAGAAGGTCTCGGTAAAAGCCCGCGGTTATCTTGCATCTCTAAACGCAAGCTCTTTCTTCACAGTTGAGCTGATTTTTTGCTTTGTAATAGATACTGCTCATGTCCCCCCGCATTCCTCCGTAATTTTATGGAGGCACATCTACTAGTAGTATGTGGTACACTCCAAAAGGCCTCGAACTGATATCTTCCAATTAGCGCCTCTAGTTGCTTACCTCCCTTTACACAAGCATGGATACGCTCCTTATCCTTGCATGTTGACTTTCCCAGCCAGCCTGCTGCGTGGCCAGGAGTTTGGGAGTCATCCGCTCTCTAGAAGATGGCTCCACAGGGCCAAACTGATGGCCTGTCCCATTGTAGCCGTGCCCTATCATATACACGCACGCTACTACTCTTCCACGTCAGTGGCGCAGGTCGCACTGGGGCCTCTCGCATCTGCACTCTGTGTCCAGATTCCAACATTGCGCACATGATTAAATATCTCAGATGGTATCTGACACGGAGCAGGTATCTCTGTGAAAGGATTCACATCTTTTCTAGCTTTGTCATCGACTGCAATCTTGCGATCACCGTAAGGCTCCAACTATTTATACTATTTACACTCCTGAAATGTAAATATATAGTATATAGTAAACAGTTATCTATATGTCATATAAACAGTTTATATAAAGTTTATATAGTTTATTTGGTCCCATCTTTTGATGGAGTTTTACTCAACTGTGAGCAGCCTCTGTGATTGTTGAGGCCTTTAAGGACCTGTTTGCATCAGCAAGCACATGACAGTGAGCAGAAAACAAGCATTCAATGTCAACACTTGCACTAGAAATGACCAGAAAATCTTACATCATACAAGAAATGACAAGAAACTCATGTCCATGAGCGTATATGATGATAAACTGTCAGTGGTGACTGCTGTTAAACACTATGATTTTCAATTGGCTTACTGTTGTGCTGTCAAATCTAGCAATTGTGCACTCAATAGCCCTATATCATCATAAAACTATTTATACTATATATATACATCTATTTACTATGTACAGGCCCAACTGTAAATAAATGGATATAGTAAACAGTTAAAACTATGTAACATAGTAAATAGATAGAAATGTTGGAGTCTTAGATCACCGCAGGCATCATCCACAACACGTGACTCACAGAATATCAGCTTGATGCGTCGGACCTTGCACACACCCGCTTGTCGTGATTTGTGATCTGCGGCTCGCCTTGGTACCTATAAGGTTACATTATTGCCTAGTTTAGTATATGCTTACCCCACTCAATTTTGAGCTCCCCAACGCTCACTTCCATTCAGACACTTGGCAGTTAGCACATATATTTGCAGCGAGTACGTCGGATGCCCCAGAGGCTTTACCCTGGTGCAATCCGCGTACATGGTTTTACATATAGTTCTGCACCGTACAGATGTACTTACGCTTAGCACAGTGACGCGATAGTACGCATCACGTTAGGTATGAATACAGAGGCTTTACCCTGGTGCAATCCGCTGATGCGATAGTACGCGTCACTTTAGCCCTCTGATCTTTCCGTGTCGAGTAGACGCAGGTGTACCAGCCACATTGACCCTTCAATACAGAACCTTCCCGGCTCATGTACGTCTCTCACATTTTTGTCCCCATCGGATGTCTCTGAAGCTTTCGCCGTTCCCTTTCCAGTCGCTCGTGCGCATCCCGCCGCACCTCTCGTATGAAGAAGCGTCCACGCTGCCATAGGTGCAGAAATTTCACGTCACATTGGACCGGTCTGATGACATGCACCGATCATAGCTGCGCTGCAGTGACCGCTTACAATGCCCTCATGGGATCCATCCCCATGAAAGGAGGTGATACTGTCCTTGTACAAGGCATAGGTGGCGTGTCCATCTTTGGACTGCAATTTGCAGTAGCTTTGGGTGCCACCGTCATCGCGACCTCCTCATCAGACCAGAAGCTCGAGATCGCTGTGAATCTGGGCGCGCATCATCTCATCAACTACAAGAAGATGCCAGACTGGGATAAGGAAGTCATGAAGATCGTGAGTGGCGTGCATGTAGGGTCACCTCGAAGTGTTTCTGAGGCTGAGATTGTAGACGAACGGACGAGGCGTGGACCATATCCTCGAGGTCGGCGGCGCAGGGACGCTGGTGAAGTCTACCAATAGCGTGCGGTATGGGGGAACAATCAACTTGATAGGCACTCTGGCTGGGGTAAACGATTTCTATCCCGATCTACAGAATCATTTACTGAACGTACCCAGGCTGGCGACGTCATTAGTGTGCCTCGGGGACTGCACAGCAGGGCAGCCTTCTTGCGCGGCATCCTCATCGGCTCTCACACCCAGTACGTGAAACCGTCCTTTATCTTTGATCACGTTATATATGCTTGAGCACACCGCAGGTTTGAAGCGATGAACAGGCTCATCTCTGCCAACGGCATCAAGCCGATCGTCGACAAGGTGTTCAGCTTCGAAGATGCCATAGCTGCATATGAACATTTGGAGAGTCAGAAGCATGTAGGGAAGGTCGTCATCCGAGTTTCGAAGCTTCAACTTGTCAAGGATTGAAACGATGGGCATTCGTCGAGGAAGCCGTCGTTGATGAGGCCGTAAATGTAAGTGAGAAAATGTGTCGTGTTCAGGAACTCTACGAACGTATTTGAACATGACATGATTGATATTGAACGTCGAGCTCTGCGATGGCTATCTAACACTATCCATTCGCGGCAATTGGTGCTCGAGTTGCAGCACGCGTCGCGTCGCGCATTCAACACGTGATCGTGACTTTGAAACCTTGACGGCTGCGGCTGCGACGAGACGGCGCTCTTAATTATCGCCTTCTGGCTACTCTTGAATAGTCGCCACTAGGGTCTCTTCTCAGAATCGAACGGCTCACGTTACTCATCAAAATACAACTTCAATACTGTCAATTCCTCATCTGGCCTGGAACTCTCCGTTCACTCCAGCATTTTTCTCACTGTATTGCATTAAACTCGAGGCCTCGGTTCATTTCTTTGTGCAAAGACCAGTGGGACGTGGTACTGTTTGGATGCCCTGAGTAATGATTAATGGCCTGTCGGCGTTGTTGCACTGACAGGTCTTATTGATACATCTAGGAGGCTTCTGCTGGAGGCAACCCATCACACAGCGTCATTGGATCCGGCATACCATCAAATCCCTCATCCTAAACATGACGTCGGTTCTCTGATGAGTTTGACGCTCATCGTACATTTTCCTGATGTACAATAAGCAAGTCCACGCCGCACTGATCAGTCAGTAAGTGCGGGGAATGTGAAATCTCTCATCAAAGCCATTTTGGATTCATAGTGGCATTAGAAGTTTGTGTGTGACCCTACACGTATTGGCATCTCGTTCGCATATCGAAATGAGAGATCTGGAGGCGTACTTCAGAACGAAGCGGTTCAGGACGCGGGAAGTGCGATAGGGATGGTACAGTAGCGCCGCATCAGATAGTAATGAAATCCCGCCGATGACGGCTCACACACCCATGCGCTCGGACATCGCTTTCGCTCCGGCCAATTCGACGAGCGCGCTGGATTTTCTCGGCATAGAGGGAGCTTCTGAGGGAATTGCTTTCTGCCACCATCTGAAGGATGTCAAATGCATGCGCATTCTCGCACGCGGCCATTGTGGCACAGGATGACCAAAGCAACGGATTTCCAGACGAGGTGTCTCGCTGAATACTGACTCAGAGCGCGTATTCTGGATACCTTCAATGCATTTTCCGTACACCGTGAATCAACAGCATCTCGAACAATTACAGGTCACGATAAATATGTTTTTGCATCAGAGATTTGATTCACCCCATGCACTGACTGTATTGCCTCCGGCTGCAGCGCGCGCCTAGCAGCTTTCACACACGCGGCATTCGCTCGCGGAGGAAAAGAAGCTTTAGTAGCCCATCTTCCTAATCGACCGTGCTAAGGGCCCAACGGATCATCAGTGGCAATTGGCGCCTTCCACGGCAGGCTCTGCTCAAGACAGGGTCATCAGTCTCGGCCAATGCATAATCGAACGGAAGGACTCGCTTCCCGGCTACACCCATCTGCCTTCACCTCCACCGTCGTGTGCACCTGTATTCCATGCGTCTACGCGGCTTCAGCAACGATCATCCAGTACCGACTCGGATGCCCCGCTCACCTGACCGCTACTCTGTTGCGCGGACGACCCGGGGCTCTGCACAAGCGGAATGGCAACGAGCCCGCCGCCGATCTTCCGCCGAAGGCCTTCCCGCGCATTCAACGTCGCGAGCAGGGAGTTGAAGAAGACTATAGAGTGGCCACTGTGAGAGTGACGAGATTGAAGAACGAAACGCTACGCACATTTGGTGAGCGTAAAGTAGATGCCCATGTAGATGAAGTTGTCTGGCATCACGGCGTACTGGGTGGTATAGACGCGTTGAATGAAGGGGGTGGAGAGAGCGGGAGGGAGGCTCACCGTGATCAGGCAGGCAAGCTCGCACAGACTGTTGTTTCGATTGGTCAAGCAGGGGGCAGCACAAGCTCATGACACCACGCGCCTCGTCAGTGAGCCGGTATTGATACTATACAACATTAGGACCCGAACGACCGACCGGCTCCTAAGGCACGATTCTGCATGTCATCTCCATGCACTGCCAGTAACACAGAACTCAATCACCTACCTCGCTACGCTGGTGCGACGGGCACGCAGAAGAAAGCATTGTGACGCAGCGATGAGGACGTCTGCAACCACGCAGGCTGCCAAGCCCACGTAGATGACCCACTGCGAAGTTTGAGACATTGGACGTCAGGGACCAGATGGCGCGGCAGCAACGATGACGAAGCTCACAGAGATATCGTAGAGTTCTCCGTATGTAGATGCGCGATACCTGCCAAAAGCGCAAACGGTCATGTGTCAATATAAATTGCGGAAGAACAGCGAAAACGCACATTTTCGCTCCTAGGACTATCGAGTTTGGGCGCGCGAGGTGAGGCACTGTGATATTGCTCAAAGAAAGGATGCTATGCATGGTACTCACTGACTGCAGCAACTGCGAAGGAAGTCAGAGCCGTCGATTGTAACTAGCATGTGACTGACCGAACGCAAGCACGGAGCTCACAACCTAAGAAACGGATGAGATGACTGAAACATGGATTAGAATCGATGCCCACTATACCGGTCACGACGACAACGCCAAGCACGTTTTTCACGCGAACTAACAATGATATGAGAGGTGAACGATTACGGGAGTTATGGACATACGTTTCCAGACACGGTGGCCGAAGAAACTGTTTGACCATATCAGAGATCGCACCAATTGCTGAGAACATTTGCTAATCACCCTCTGATGAGTCCATCGCTTATCGCCTATAAATCGGCATCATTAACATGAATTGAGAAGGCGCATGTGTTTGAGCTCACGGTAACCAGAACCTGAGTCTATAACAAATTCAGCAGGTCTCTTCATCGTGGCGTCGATAAAGACGTATATACCTACCACCGCGCTCCTGGTATGTCCAAGTATGCTCAGGTATGTTTAAAAAGAGGGGTTACAGGAAATTCACCAAGTCGGTTTTAACAGCGCGAATATGTTGCCAAAATCCCGCACGGCGTACGTATAGACAAGATGTGTGATGACTATTAGGTGAAGACCATCGATCGACCTGGACAATCATATGCCAATGTGTCAAACTCCTATGCAAAGACAGTTCACGATACGCACCACAGAAAGAATACCTGGAATGAGAAAAGACGGGAAAAAGCACGGCGTGATCAAGAAGCCAGAGGTCACAGTGTGGCGAGTATCTCACCAAGCACTTCAGGTAAATCGGGTCGTGTGTGCTCTGCTTGTAGTAGATGTATGCCTGCACGTTGGTAATGCCGTATATACTACAAGAGCGGATGCATGTCAGAGGCTCTGCGGGTAACCTGTGTCCAGGCGGACTTGCACTGCCGCGATAATGTTTCCTACAAGGAACAATGAGAATGCTCATTGTCTAACATGTACGGCCGACGTACCAACAAACACCGCCCCTAAAGAGTCGCCTAATAGTGGTTCCATGGATAGACAGAGGAGAGACAGGACAGGGGTGAGGAGAATGGTCCCAACTGAGATGCGAGGCTGAGCCGATCACTCATACATATACTGCGAGCCCATGTCATGACAGCCATGGGAACGTTTGACAGGCATCACAGAACAATCGCCGCTCATCAGTCGAGAATCCCATTTGATCATTCAGTGCCTTACCCGGGGGCAGCTTCGCACATTCTGGATGTGACGTAACATCAATATCATGATGGGACATGGCGCTTAGCAGACCAATGTGAGCGTGCGGCATTGTCATGATTGCTCATCGTGTCAGATTGTGCGCTGCTGTGAGACTGCAGATTATGGTAATGCTGTCAAAAAAAACTTGCTGGAGAATGTCTTCGCCTCGGTCGGAGTCATAAAGGCCTCCAAGTCGATACTGTAACGTTTTATGGAGCTAGAATGATTCCTAGGACAAATGAATCATACAGTTTGGCCAAATGGACAGAGACACACCGACATTATGACCATCAACTTCATGTTGGCGGGTCCTGTGAATATGCGGATGTCAGAGTATAGCAGCTGTTCGGTTACCTGAAGGAAGCACGTGAACTTTTTGTAACGCTCATGCTTAGAGTTTGATGTACGTGCCACTGACTTATAAGACGGGAACCTAGATAAGCTTCTGGTGATGCAGGCCTGACCCAATCAGATGTAAGTCGGCGGCCGCACGAGACGCATCCCATCTGAATTGAGCATGTGGTTGTGACTATTGTCTCTATGATATGCTAGAATGCAAAGATGTAGAACATATCGAGAACCATATTGGTAGAGGTGGACTGTTCATGGATTCATTAACGGATGTGGTCGCACTGGAATAACCAAAGCATCGTCGAAGAATGCTTCGGCATTTCATAAAAGACGCCCATCGACCTATGAAGGCTGTGCATACCAATCGAAGATAGAAGCCATCGTTAAGCCGGCGGAATGAAAGTAGCGTGCATAACTAACCGTGTTCGGAAGAGCCGTCTGGGCAGACATTCGATCATCCCCTGGAACGCACATTCGCTCATCTCAGATAATAGGAACGTGTTACGTCACGTACCGTGTAGACCAGGTGTCCGAGTACTAGGAGGATAATGAAACGAGGGGGTCGGTATTCTCGTATGTAGACTCTCCCGTTCCGATTCCTCGTGACCACGCGAGACGATTTCTACCTTCCTGATAGTGGCGATGAAATGATACGATGAGTAACACAGTTTGCGGGCCACGCTGATCACTGGGAGATACAGCATGGCACATCAGGCTTTTCAACTCTGAGCTAACAGAAGCATAGGCCGACACCAAACCACACGTAACGAGCAGACAAGTGGAATAGTAAGGCTAGCATGCGCCTCACAAGGCTCTAAAACGAAACACATCCATATAGCATCATCAGCCTGAGGTGGTGTATTCTCCCTGCGGAGAGCCTGTTGTCTGAACCCCATGAACGACAGAGAAGCTGGGGATTGTCCAGTATCAATAGCACCAGTGACAAGCACAGATTCATGAGGCAATGGAGAGACAATCAATAAAGACGGCAGAAATTAGACTATTACTGTAGATGAGCGAGTCGGAAAGAGTTGAGCGCTGCAGTGGCGCTGAGTTCGCCACCGGCCCCTTTCAAGCTCCGCCGTTGCTCTCGCCACAGCTCCCCTCACCACTGCACGTGGGCATTCTTCATATGAATCAAAGGATAGTAGTTGAAGGATACTGACTATCACTTTCAGATAGCATCCGATGCACGCTGCAAGGGAATGAGCTAAGCACGCATGAAAGGGCCCCAATCGTATGCGTTCAGCCGTTGATAATTTGTTACTATGACTCAAATATCGTACATCGACCAAAACGAAACCCGATCTCTCCACCATGCAAAATAGTGCATCTGCTCTCCGCGACAATGAGCGTCCAAAGGGATCACAAACGCGCCACCGCTGCCGTTCTCTCAGCAGGCAGCCTCCCTGACATCGTCACAGCCTTCTTGCCCTCCGCGACCTCCTTCACCAACCCAAGCACGTCGCCCGCGCATCCAAAGGAGAGGGAGAATCCCGAGCCTCCCTGGCCATATGAATGAACGATGCGGCTCGGCTTGCCGTCCTTCCTTAGTCGGGACTCGCGCTCGACGCGGACATTCTGCCCGCGAGTTGGCCGGTTTCCTTGGACGAACGGCGCGGAGGGGTCGTAGTCGGCGTTAGCGAGTCCTGGAACAAAGTGGTTGCAGCGTTCGCGCATGCGCACGATTTCCGGGCTATCGAGCGTCAGGTCGAGGTTCCACTCTCTCGGTTGCGCGATACCTGTAAAATGAAAATGCCATAACATCAGCTGACTGAGTCTGCGAAAATAATCAGATGCGAACTTACCTCCCAGAATGAGGATGTTGTCGTTTCGCGGTACGATAAATACCAGGTCCTGACCCTCTCGATGGGCGTCATCGATACCGACAGCAAGCGCTTCAGTGACCTTCGGGAACTTCGTCCCGTCATTGACCACACGAATGAGCGCGCCCCTCAGCGGATAGACCGTCTTGTCATCGGCGGTCTCCCACGCGTCTAGTCCAGTCGCATTGACAATTGCAGACGCCCTGTATTTCGCGAGGAGCTCGTCCTCCTGCGTCAGAAGGTCACCTGAGACCCGAGCAGTGATGAGTTCAGCGCCCTTAGCTTCGACGAGAGCACGCAGCCAGATCATGTAGTGATCTGTGTCAATCACTGGAGCATCGTGGCAGTATGAATCAATGACACCGGCTTCTTGATTGACGGCATGTTTCGTGATCAGAGTGGGGTCCCGATTGAAGCCTGTGACCTATGGAAAGATATCCCGTGTAAAGAGCAAAAATAATCAGAAATGTAGTCAACCTACTCCGCAGCGCGAGATTTCTTGCATCTTTTGGTACTGGTCAGGAATGTTCTCAAGTGGGCGGTCAAAGAAGAAGTTGGCACGGCGCACGCGCACGCCGTGTACCTCCGCAGTAAAGATCCGCATGAGGACCTCAAAGACGTGGTAAGACGTCATCGCCCAGCCTTTTGAGTGCTCGAGTGAGATGACATCGGTGTGTCTGCCACAAACTGCGGGCGGCCACTCCCAGCTATGTCACCGGAAGTAGCGCAGAATTTGTTGAGATGTCAAAGAGGTTAAGGGGGAAAGGATGAGTGAACGCTCCCGAGCTACTTTGCTGGCAGTTACTCACAGAGCGCCGGCGATTTGGGAGGTAATTCGATGTTGCAGATTAGCCCAGCACTCAGAGACGACCGTGACATTGTACCCCGCATCTAGCAGTGCCCACGCCGTCTAACGTCCAAATGCACACAATGTCAGCTGCTGTAAGAGAGAAAGCAGCGTGTGAGACTGACAGTAAGCCCGGTAACACCGCCGCCGACGACGAGCACCCGCTCTGATGTGGGCTTTCGAGTAGGTCCAGGACCAACGCTGAGCATGAGCCCACCAGAGACAAGTGAGAGGTGGATGTCGGGAGTGGCAAGCTGGGTGCTGGAGTGGTTGGTAGAAGTAACGGAAGGCATTACTGTCGAGGCTCAATATGTGAAAGGGTGTAGATAACTGAGTTGAGAACTGCAGCGAAGAGGATATCAGCTGCACAGAAGACAAGTACTGGTACTCGGGTTGTCGAGTGGGGATTAGCTGCCCATTTTATATGTCGACAGGCGGGACGCCTCGACCGTCGCCATCACGTTCTCTGGTCAGCGGAAGGATCATCCGCACCAATAATTCCACCATCTCGAAGGCCAGGAGTAGGCACGAGACGCTAATACCAGACCGAGGCGCATGTATGGGCGTCGCCAAAAATTATACCAAGTCCCTGCAATGGCGGGAAATGGCCGCTGAATAGGCACCGACACGAACCGGGTGAGGAAGCAACCAGCTGACAACGTTCTAGGCGGCATGCATTCATGCCATTACAGATGAGAGAAGGTCATCGAGTCAATTCTCTGCCTCTGGTGAACGTGCATCGGCAAAAATAAATTGAATATCTGTCACGGAGGTATGCCAGACGTGTTAGAGACTCTGCGCAGGTTTCAATGAGAGCGAAAGGAAAAACAAAACACGCGTGTTTGAGGGGAGCCAGGTTGCTTGAATTTGTTATATCCCAAGTAGTATTGAATACAAATACACGCTCACGAGTGCCGACGTGATGTCGATGGAGCAACTTCGTACAGGTTTCTTGAGCCCGACCATACGGAGACTTGGCAGCGCAGTATGTGAACGCCCGAAACGCCCTTCCGTGAACACGATGGGCTAGATGTCGTAGACTTGAGCGTTCGGCGGCATCATTGATCCGCTACAGGTAAACAACGATCTGATAATAGATGGTGTGACCGTTCAGATCGATTAGCAGACTCCTGGAGTATGTGTTATTCCACGGGCGAAGAAGCATCTGTGCTGGGCTGAGCAGCAAGCTCAAGTTCACAGGCATATTTGACGGTATTCTTCGCTTTTGCGACACACTCAAAATGGGAGGAGCTCTGTCGCCAAAGCCGCTGATTCTTTGGATCAAGCAAAACGCAGACGCTAGCAAAGTAGACATCGGGGTTTGGAGACCGCGATGCCGTGGATGGAGGATTTTGGGCATGCATCACACATGATGTGAGAACGACGTTTCCTAGGACTCCATTGCCATGTGGGTACGAGCGCTCCGAATGCTGTCAACCGCGGAGGTTTGCAGAGGTAAAACGGATCTGTCAAAGATTGTTCAGAGAGGCGAGCTGCATCGCAGCGTTGATGTAACGAACAAGATCACACTCCAATGCACTTCGCCAGCTGCGGATCTTGGCGTATGTTCACAAGCGCAAGAATTTTGGCGAGTCTATGATTTTAGTCATGAGTAAGTTATGCATCTCGAGCGCTCGCTGTCTTTCGCCATACAGGCTTCCGAGTTCGAATTTCGCCTAGCGGGGCAAGCGCCCTCTTTGGGTTCGGGCAAGGAGACCGTCATTTTGATGCCGGTCATGCGATATCGGAACTGAGATGCGTGGCAAGAGCCAGGTCATATGCACTCGTTTCAACCATTATCCTGTCTGCGGGACTGTGAATCTGCCTGTCCCAACCCTGGGCGAATAACAAAGTAAAAAACTTACTATGTTGCGTGCCCCAAGACGACTCAAGTTCCTCGTTGATGTAAGTGACGTTGCATTCCATACGAGCCGCCGTATGCAGAATCAATCATCGGAAAGAGTTAGTGCCCAGCACTAGCTAATGACGTTCCTGTATATGAAGCTGTTTGGTTAGAGGATCGTTTACGATACCGAATAGAGGCAAAAATTATCGTTATGATTGATGTGCCGTTGTAAAGGCCGAAGAAGTATAAGGAACATGCGGAAGGACCAGCATGGCCGCTCAGCGCTCATCATTCAACATCCAATGGCTGGTGCCAATACGAAAGAGTGAATAATAACGTGTTTCTTCATCCTTCCAATAGTCAAAATCCGTCGCCGCAGATCATCACGATGAAGGGTTGCAACGTTGAGGACAGGTTGAAGAAGTATTAAGCGACTCGCGAGTCGGACTCTCGGGCGCTAAGCGGTTTGTGTATGCACGGGATCATCGATGCGCGCTTACCGTGGCCTCGTAGAGAAGAGCACCCTTGCCGCAATTGGTGTGAGTCCTATATTTCATTGAATAGTGATTGAGATCAGGCGATCGTAGGCCACCGTTTTCGGATGCTAAAACGATATATTACGAGACGAGACGAGTGACATTGTGCTAACAACACACGCAATATGTAGACGAGAATTCCTGGAAGCGTTTGATCGCGAGATAACCTCATCTTCAAAAGCACCACTGCATCGGAAAATAGTATGTATAATAAGCCTCTCGCTTAGCGTCGTCGCCGCAGTCGAGCCAAGCATTGTGGCACAAACTTTTTGCATCCTTTGAGAAGCGAACAGCTGATCAACTTTGATCAACTGATGTACCGCATACTATGGAAGGTGCGGATTGATGAGACGCCAGCTCAAGTGAGATGAGGAACGATATCCATAGTGACATTGCGCTTCGCGTTCCCTTTCTTTCCTGTACTTGGTGATCGTCGAGTGCATTCTTTGGGAGGATGTGAATTCTATCTCCAACATCACTGCCTCTAAAAGTGCTTCGACTTTACAGTTCATACGGAGGGTCTGCAGTTTACGCATATGCAACGCCAGTAATTTAGATCGACGCTCCGTGGCTGTAGAGTGGAGCCATGAACACATTCTCGACCAGTATCCTAGAACCTTGCTAACTCGAACTTCGTACCGCGCACAGAAGCCAGCGTTGGCGCGCAGAGAAAACCCCTCCTTACAACCTCGCGGGCACTCTGCTACCTTCCACCTGCTCTCTAAGCTTATCCGCCATCCCCACCGGCCTCTTTCCCTCCCTGATCTCCTCCACCAACTTGAGCACATCCCAAGCGCACCCAAATGACAGCGAGAAGCCGGCGCCACCCTGACCGTACGAATGTATGATCCGGCTGGAGCTCAGACTGCCCGGACGCGGACGCAGCTCGCGCTCGACTCGGACGTTCTGGAGGCGGAACGGCCGACAGCCCTGCACGAGCGGGGCAGTGGGGTCGTACTGGGCGTTCTCGAGCCCTGGAACGAACGCGTTGCAGCGCGCACGCATGCGAGCGATCTCTGGGTCGTCCAGCGTAAGGTCTAGATTCCACTGGTGGGGTTGGGCGATGCCTGTGGATGTAACGCGTCAATGTTGGGTGCTGCTTGGAAGATATGATGGAGGTGATATTCACCACCGAGGATGAGCGTGTTGTCGTTCCGCGGCACGATGAACACCAGCTCCTCTGATCCCTCATGGGCATCGTCGATTCCGACGGAGAGCGCCTCCGTGACCTTGGGGAACCTGGTCCCGTCGTTGACCACGCGGATGAGCGCCCCACGAAGCGGGTACACCGTCCGGTCATTCGCAAGCTCCATCGCGCCCAATCCGGTGGCGTTGATAATGACAGATGCATTGTGCTTCGCGAGAAGCTCTTCCTCCTGCGCGATGATGTCGCCGTTGATGCGGGCTGTGATGAAGGTCGCACCCTTTGCACCGACTAGTGCGCGGAGCCAGATCATGTACTGGTCGGTGTCGATCACAGGAGCATCATGGCGGTAAGAGTCGACGACGCCCGCCTCTTGGTTCACGGCATGCGCTTTGATCAGGTTCGGATCGCGCACGAAGCCCGCTACCTGTGAGAACAATGAGAAAGCATACAAAGCAGCGGAGGTCGCTTCATACGTACCCCGCTTTGCGCGACCTCCTTCATCTTCTCGTACTGATCCGGGATGTTCTCGAGCGGGCGGTCAAAGAAGAAGTTTGCGCGACGCATGCGGACTCCATGCTCCTCAGATGGGATAATCTGCGAAAGAGCCCGGAAGACATGATAGGATATCATCGCCCAATTCTTCGAGTTCTCCAGCGATATAACGTCCGTGTGTCGTCCACATACCGCCGGCGGATATTCCCAGCTAAAGCATCAAAAATGACAAACAAAGTCAATGCGTGGAAATGGCGCGCGAAAAACTGCGCGCCACTTACAGCGCACCAGCAATTTGCGAAGTGATCCGTCGTTCTGGATTGGCCCAGCGCTCCGCGACGACCGTAACATCGTAGCCGGCATCGAGAAGAATCCACGCTGTCTGGTGTCAGGTACATGGAGTGAGCGCTGCGCGACTACATTAGCGCGGACAACGACACCACTGACAGTAAGTCCGGTAACACCGCCACCAACGATGAGCACCCTGTCCGCTGACAGTGGGCGAGCTCTTCCAGGACTGTGGAATAGCCTCAGCTCTCCGGCAACGTAAGTGATGGTAGCCAGACTAGCTGCTGAATGGAGTCCGGGGCGTCGACTTTCATCCATGACGTTCAGTTGGAATGAGCAGTGTCTCAGATGAATGATTGTGCAGTCAGGATGCTCTGCTGGAGCACTCACCATGCTGGATATTTATCGAGACCGCGACGGTTGCCGAGACGATGCGTCAATCATTGAAACGCCCCTTCTCGTGCAAGTCGGCGTTGATGTTCTGACAGATGCTCCTGAAACAGCGACACCGCCTCGTTGGCTCGATGCCAAACATTCGTCAAGACACTGCGTCTCACTTCCGTGGTCGGCACGACTTGTAATTTGTCTCGAGCAGAACAATCTTCCGCCTTGGCCTAGCTACGAGGTATCAAAGACGCGAGCGCGCAGGTGGATGACGAAATACGTCGGTATTGGAGATTACCGCAGTAAGGGTTGAAATGAGGTCCGTGTCAACCGAAGCGCTCAGTGATACTGATGTGCGAATACCAATTTATCATGATGGTCAGTTGTTATTGCACCTCAACAAGGAACGTACCTCACTTGCTGAATGTCCAACATTCATATTCGCACACTGAGACTTGATGACTGATGCCTACGGCGACCGTCTCGCATGGACATGCAGTCAAGAGCATGCTCCATCGCAGCGTTGAACACACTTGGCTGCATAGACGTTATTTCCGAGTGGCGCTTCGACGAACGCTTTGATGGGATCACTATCCTAGTCATTGATTAGCATCGGTCGCTACATGATTGTATTTCCAAAAATCCACCTTCGAAGGACTGCGCGCATAGCCACCAAGAGCGCTCCACGCGGTTGCGAACAAGGTCTATGATGGACCGGATTGGTGGAGCATACAACCAACGACACGACGCGAGCCAAGCTCGATATTCCTTTGTCAAGGACAGGTAGTCAGGTACATTCTTTACAGAGAGTTGGGGTGGTACGCGTCAGCGGAGAGCATCGCCGACGCTCTTCCGATGTAGAGCGCGGACTGGCAGCGGAACAAACGCCACAAGCGCAGCATCACAAATCATTGACAAGGCATGGATAGGGCCGGATCCTAACGCTGGCTCGACATCTTTCAGCGAACTTACATTCTCGCATAATATTTATGATGTACACTCACATACTCTTATGCCCTTTGACAGGAACAATGGCATCCTTGACATGAGACGAGAACGACGAAGATCAGGTACGCCGCAGAAGATGTCGGCTTGAGATGTTGAATTGTATGCTCCCGATAGCATGACGATGGGCCTACCCCCTGACGATGCGTCACAGGGAATGCGGCTACGGTAACTCTGGCCAGAATCGTCCTATCGGCTTGTCAACTAAATTGCAGCACACCGAGTGATTTCGACAGGCCGTGACATTCTGTCGTGCCCTTGAAACGACAGAAACGACAGAAACGATACGATAACATCCATCGCACGCAGTAGACGGGTCGGTATGGCCGAAACTAATATTGTGCTTGTACGAGAAAGGATAAGTGCAGCCGGCCTCAGGTGAGGCTCCAAACGCACGGGAGGCCAGAAAGATAGATGAAGAGTCCATCAATCCATTAAGGGCTGCATTCTGCAATTCGGATACCGCCATCAGCTGTCATCGCCATATGGACATAGCGCCGCGTCGAGCCTCCCCTTCGCGAGCTTGGCAAGACGACATCTTATCATTGTTCAAGGAGAGGGACGCATCAAAGTAAGTCCGGCGCCAGCCGTGCCTGAATGATCGACGGAACCATTCAGACGTGCGACCCTGTTGACCAATGCAGCGTGGACTTGCTGATTGTGACACCAGGAAGATGTGTCACGAGCATAAGACTCATCAGAGAACCGACGTCAAGTCAAGGATCGGAGGTTTGATGGTACGCCGGATCCAATGATGGATTTGCGTTCGACAAGAAAGGAACGCTAGTCGTGCTATGTCTGATGGAGATGGTCCTGGTAGCCCCTCTGAACGCCTACCGCCAGGCGAGACAAGATGAACCCTGTCGACATAGTCCGGAGTGGTAATCGAGAGGCGACACGGGGAAGAAAGAAACCGCCGTTCCAGCCTACCGTTTTACTGGCGTTGAAGCACCCCCAAGGCAGGTACTTCGTTCGGACTATTAAAGAGACACTGTCAGCTTGACATATCTGATCGATAGACTTGTGAAGACGTAAGCCTGGAGGAGCTCGATGAATCCGCCAACCATAGGGCCCCTGACGTTTGTGCGGAACAAATTGCGTGAATCCGTTAGCACCGGATCAGTCGCCGCAGTTCTCCGCGCTCCGGCTCATGCCCAGCCTGGGTGGAAGGACGATGGGCTGCGGTTTGCCATGCTGAAACTTGGGAGCTCCATTGCGGAGCGGCATAGCATCCGTTAAGCTACTAGCGATAGAGTTCTGGACTCGCAAGACCCGTTAGGCTATGATTCGATCCCCTGAGGAACGAGAACCCCCGGTATGGTATAGCAAGTAACTGGTGCACACCACGTGAAGACAGCTGCAGTCAGGAGAATGCAGGTAGATGGGCCAGACAAGTCGTAGCAGGAGCTAACGGCCAAGGTCGACCTTCGAACGACGTCGACTGGAGGGTGGTAGGGACAGCGACGTCGGACTACTGAAGAAACATCAGGAGCTTGATATAGCCGATCGATATGCTTGTGAGGACGTCAAAGTGGAGGAGCTCAGTGCATCCACGAGCCATAGGGATCACAGTGAGGATACCTAGGCATAGATTTGAGGAGTCTCAAGACAGGTTCGGCTATGATTCTGACTCTTGAGGGACGAGGACCGTGGTATGGCGCATTGATTGTGCAAGAAATAACTGGTGCGCACCAAATGAAGACAGCTCCAGTAAAGAGCATGCATAAAGATAGGCCAGACAAGTCACAACGGAAACTGACGGCCAAGGTCAAGCTTCGAACGACGTGAGAGCAGCACTTCGAATCCAACATGCAGTTAACAGTCAAACATAACGATCCACGCCATACTCAGGAGAGAGATCCAGATAGGGGTATCACGGAGCACCCAGGGTTTCTCGAGATGAATGCACTTTACCTATGCGCTGATCGCAACGTAAGCATCCAGACACTACTATGTCCCACTGGCCGTCGCGCAAAGGAATGAACCAAAACCTCGAGTTCAATGCAGCGCAGTGAGCGAAAAATGTTGGAGTACACGCAGCGTTTCAGGTCAGATGAGCAATGGACAGTGTTGAAGTTGGATTTTGACGAGTAACGCGAGCCGTCGATTCTGCGAAATACTAGCTAGCGGCGACGTGTCAGGAATTTGCATTTAATTTCACTGAAACAAACAGGAGTAGAAGAGCTAGAGTGGTACCCGTGCAGTAGGTGTGGCATTGAATATTGAGCGGCAGCGATGCGTGCAGGTCAGAGCCCAGCGAGAGCTGGCGTGAGTCAATTTTCATGTCACGGTCACGTGCTTGATGGGCGGCGCGACGCGTGCTGCAGCTGACGCGTCACGCGGTGGCTCGCGGTCGACTGGGTTGAATACCGCGAAGGAACAGTATCGGATAACCTATTACATAGGCACACGGGAGCTTGACGTTCAATCTATACATTTGGAACCGGAGCGCTATCGTAGAGTTGCTGAAATGATGCGTTGTCTCGCTCATGCGTTACAGGCACAAAGCACGATGACTTTCTCAGACCTCGATCAATGCCTATCGTTTCAATCCTTCGAGACTCGAATGACAACCTTCCCCACATGCTTCTGACTCTCCAAATACTCGTAAGCGGCTATGGCGTCGTCGAAGCTAAACACCTTGTTGACGATCGGCTTGATCCCGTTGGCGGAGATGAGCCTGTTCATCGCTTCGAACCTGCAGCGTGCCCAATCGTATACAATATGAATGGAGATAAGGATGATTTCACGTACTGGATGCGAGAGCCGATGCGGATGCCGCGCAGGAAGGCCGCCCTGTTGTGCACTCCCCGGGGCACACTATCGATGTCGCCAGCCTGGGATATCGGCATGCACATTCAGTGAATAGTCTTGTGGATCTGGATAGAGGCCGCCCACCCCAGCCAGAGAGCCTATCATGGTGATTGTTCCCCCATACCGCACGCTATTGGTAGACTTCACCAGCGTCCCTGCGCCGCCGACCTCGAGGATATGGTCCACGCCTCGTCCGTTCGTCTACGTCTCGATCTCAGCAGCTCTCCCGAGGCGGCCCTGCACGTACGACACTCACGATCTTCATGACCTCCTTATCCCAGTCCGGCGTCTTGTTGTAGTTGATGAGATGATGCGCGCCCAGCTTGGCGGCAATCTCGAGCTTCTGGTCTGATGACGAGGTCGCGATGACGGTGGCGCCCGAAGCTACTGCGAATTGCAGTCCGAAGATGGACACGCCTCCTGTGCCTTGTACGAGGACGGTATCACCTCCTTTCATGGGGGCGGATCCCATGAGGGCGTTGTAGGCGGTCACTGCAGCGCAGCTGTGATCGAGGTGCGTCATCAAACCCCGGGTCTAATGTGATGTTAGGCTTTTGCACCTACGGCAGCGTAGACGCTTCCTCGTATGAGAGATGCGGCGGAATGCGCACGAGCGACTGGAAACAGAAAGGCCAAAACCTTAGCGACGTTCAATGAACACAAAAATGCGAAACATGCATGAGCCGGGAAGGTCTTATACTCGGTCAAGACTCCGTCAATGGATCCTCCGAGCGCAGAGCCCTTGATGTCGTCCGTCACGTCGCCAAAGATGTGGTCCACGCGGAAGTTGGCGCAGACGCTATCTCCGACGTTCCATCCCTCCACCTGGTCCCCGAGCGCGATGATCTCACCCGCCATATCTGAGCACGGCACGAGGTTCTCTTTCTGTCCTATGGCATACTGGTTCTTCGCAATCATGATGTCACGGTACTGTGATGGGATCAGTGCAAGCGTAATTTGGAACTGAGGAAGAACTCGCGTTGAGAGAGACGGCATGGACCTTCACAAGGACCTCCGTCGATTTGGGTCCGCTCAGCGGGGCCTCTTGCAATGTCAGACAACGTATGCTGTCGGGCTTGAGGTACAGAGTTCACTAAGCTGCGAGGATACGATACGGTGCGTCTACTACCTCACCTTTGGCAGGCGGTATTCGCGCGTCTTGGAAGGAGCCGCCATTGTTGCAAGCGGCTATGGAAGGAGCACAAAGGTTGCGTTGTTATACAGCGAGGCGAGTATGTTTGTAAGCCACGTCCGCGATCTCGCGTGTCATCATAGGTCGTGAATCGTGATGACGTGAGATCTATTTGAGCGGACATAGCGAGCCCACCGAGAGCATAGATGAGAGAGCGAAGGATTGATGGGCGATGCAAGCACCAAATACAGTTTATCATGGCATGCATGCGGTTGTCTTGAATCATGCACAGACGTTAACCGAGAGGTCTCGAGAGGCAGCATGGTCGTCTACACGCGAGACTGGGCGCCAAAACGATCGGTCGGGGAATACATGCCACCGCAATCATCCATGGTGCAGTGTACCTTCTTCCCGTGTGCAAAACATATGTGCATGAAATTTCTGACATGAACGAAACACCGATCGACGGCCATTGACAGTGTAGCCTCTGTACCTACTACCACCTCCACAATCACCAGACATAAGGTATCATCCGGTACGGAACTCTCATCGCCCATTCATCCCACTGCTTCCCAAACTCTGTCTTCAATAAAGCCTCCTCGTGTTCCATCCGCTTCGCGAAGCCAATCACAGTATAGAGGGTTATCGCTGCGTATAGCCCTATACCCATCCGCCCCGCCGCAGTATTGACCACACCGCATTCAACCAACCATGATCCTGGACTAGTGAAGCACATCGCAAGCCCGATAATGCTGGCGATCCATGCCGGGTAACTGGGATAACGGATGTACGCGTAGGGACCCGATGTGATGAGTTGGTGTCTATCGAGGATTGACACTTCGAAGGTGAAGTGCCGCCCTAGGGCGCGGTAGCATAGATAGCGGACGTATCCGCCGCACGTCGCGAGTGCGGCACCAACGAGGAATTGTGGAGAGATGTTGATTCTGTGAGCGAGAGACCTGGAACCATTGATCAATGCCTGGAGGACCATCTGCGAGAGGGGATTCTTGGGATATGCATCTGCGAGGATGACGAGTGACTCCAAGGTGCCGCCGATGTACATGAGACACTGAATACCCATTCAGAGTGATTAATCTCATCTTAAGGATGAGAAGTTGACTGGACATACCCTGAATGTCAGACTGAGTTCTTTCGAGACAGCCGAGAAGAGGCGCTCCCACGCGGGAAGTGCCTTCGGTCTTGCATCATGTGCGACTTGCGGATTAGGCGGCGTCGCAGAATGTATAGCGGCCAGGGTGCTGGCGAATATGAGGAGTATCTTGACTAGAGACATTGTAGGCCGGGGATGGCATTGCGGATGCAGTCCTTGCTCAGTCCTTTATGTAAATCTCCGCGGAAGACACGTCTCGGAATCGTCACGGATTCTCTCCGATGGGCTGTTAACACAGGTAGATGGTTGCTTCGACCGTGAGGAGGAGGAATCGGCTCACCCTGCATGCGTATTCCAACGTGGAGACGGAGTTTTGAATTTGACGAATCATGGCCCGCGCAGCATGCATATCTTCTGCTTCTATGTTAACCTGTCAGATTCGTGTGAGCCTCACAAGTGATATTCAATGGAACCATTGGAAATTATTCATTCTGTCTTGACAGCAGCAATGGTAGCAGCATGTAGCGGACTGTCCTGCTCAATTGAACAATTGAAAAACAGACCGGTACCGAAAGCTCGGTGTGTGCTTTCCAGAATTATAAGCAGCTCGTAAATTGCACCGTTCAAGAAGTTCCCGATATGAAACGGCACCAGTATGTCACCGAATGCATGCGAGCTCTCGGTTATTACAGCGGGCAAAGTTCGGATGCCATATAGCCTTTTGTAGTCGATGTTCACCCACACAACCTGGGAGGTTCGATGAGCAATTCAGTGAGAGTGGGAGATTGCGCGATTCGAGCATTAGGGGGGGCAATGCTATCTTTCAGTGTGGAGGTGAAGGAACGCGCAATACGGCCGCGACAGTCGATCAGAGGTGCTGCTCACCGGCGTTTCAGGCGACTCGGCACCATTATGAGCGCCTCCTCCAGGCTCGTCGAAACAGATCGGAGTGTACTCCCGATACATGACGGCGACGAGATCCGGCACGCACCAGTAACATAAAGTGATATGCAGAAACTGCTTACCTTCCAGCCACAACACTAGTCAATATATGATTAGAAACGCTTTTCGCCCACTGTTCGAATTCCCATTGGCGCTCTGCATGCGATCTTCAACGTAGCATTTTTGTGTTCAGTCCTCTTCGTGAAGCTAACGATGGCATATAGAAGCATTGCTTTGACGACAGCCCCGGCTCCAGCAGCCTCGACGTTGATGAAATTGCATCCAGGAATAGGACTTGTGAAGCATATTCTGAACCCGATAACGCTGCAGACCGAGCTCGGCTAGCTCAAATGGCAGACGTGCACATACAGGCCCGGCATTCCAAACTGTTCATTGCAGTGTCTCCCGGTAAGCGTTGACTCCATCTCCGCGGGATCCCATTTCGTGAGTCGGTAGTTCATGCTATTGCGCAATGTGAGAAAAACTGATGACAGCATGCGCAATGTTGCCGAGAGGCGACCAGAGAGGACTTGGAAACAAACCGCGCTGCTGTCGCCTCAGCAATATTTGTTGTGCTGCAAACATCGGTCAGCGAGTGGAAGGTTAGTAGATATAAGGGATCATGCGATAGGTACTAGTGGCTGAAATGCTTCCGCCGTCTGACTGCTTTGGATCCTTCATCGCCCACTGAATGCCGTAGATGCAGGATAAGTAGCCGATAAAGGGCGAGCAATTTGGTAGTGTGGAAATGAATGCGATGCAAGCCTGCGTCAAGAAAGAGTGAGACCGAATGTGGTGCCACGGCGCTTGAAAAGGGCGCGTGTAAATGAACGCACCGATAGCCATTCACGTCCGAGCGCCGTGTGCATTCAGTCATGCAGACAGTTCGCATCCTGTTACAGCATGGTTCAAATATTCCACTATCAAGTCAAAAGAATATATGGGGTACGTCTATTGAGATTATAAGTCAGTAAATATAAGGAATTATTCGACAACGGACTCTCTTCGCCCATCCCTCCCATTCCTCCCCAAACTGTTTCTTCAGTAAGCGATCTTCGTCATATGATCTATGCACGAGACAAACTGCACTGAAAGCAGTGATAGCTATGTAGATCGACAAACATATCTGTCCAGCAAGTGTATTGGTCACACTGCATTCTACAAACCACGAACCCGGACTGGTCATCCATATCCCCCATCCAACAAGACTGGCGATTCCGCTGGGATAGCTTGGATGGCGGACGTATGCGTATGGTCCTGAGGTGATGAGTTGGTGCTTCTCGAGAATGGACATTTCCAGTGTGAAATGGCGTCCGAGGGTGCGGTAACACCAACGGCGTATGGTGCCTCCCACAGTTTCCAGTCCGAAACCGATAAGGAATGTAGGAGATATGCTGATATTCTTGGTGAGAGACGTTGGCCCGTTTACCAGCGTCTTGAGATTCACATCTGCGAGAGATGTTGATCTGGAAAGGTGCTTGCCAATATGACAAACACTTCCATGCTTCCTCCGAGGAGAATCAGAAGCTAATAGCGTAGCCAGAAGCTATTAGCATGGTAACGCACACTATAGACAGCGTGCCAAGCCAGACGCACTCTCAGCATTACGAGGATGGAATGTATAGCAGATGAGACAAATTTCTCAAAGGCAGGCAAGGCCTTCGGTCTCGCATCGGCAGGGGCTCTGGGGTTCGGAGGAGTTGTAGTTGAAGCCGAAGACATGGTGCTGGCAAGGACGAGAGGCAGCTTCGCCAGCAACATTGCGGGAGACTGACAATGGCAAAAGTGGAGGGTTGCTTCGGTGCTGCCTCATAAGTAGCTAGGCGGCAGATATGCTATGGCGTGGTCAAAGTCGGGATCACAAGTACTTTTCCCATGTGCTAAGTTTTGACGGTTAACAATTTCACTTGACTTAGTCACTTATCCCTTACAAAAGTTACTCGTGGTTCACTTGAACCTTATTTTGGCAGGCCAAGTGAAATTGTCGACGTCGGGCGCTTATTCTCGCTTGTCTTCACTTATGCTCACTTATGCTCACTTGAGACTTCCTGCATGTTGCCCACTCAGCAAGTGAATACAAGCGACCAAAAGTGAACCAAAAGTGAATCCCCGCAAGTCTCAGTGACCCCAACAAGGCCCCCGCCGGGCAAAATAGGCGTCAGCAGTCGTGGTAAAGTCTTCGGATTTGTCCCCTCTCCAGCCCTTCTGTTAACTGGCTGATTCATTATGCATCAGCCACATTCAACTCAGACAGCTACTGCGCAAATACTCCAAGGCTGTGTTTTGCACCTGTCTAGCCCGCCATCGCCGTCAAACCATCCAGTTTTCTGCTCACCACCTTGGCACGTTCACACGCCTCGCGATGCGTCGACGCTGATGTTGTACAGTTATGTAGTCTTTGGCGATGGTTCGTCTCGTGGTGGCCTGACTGTAATGTGGGTATTCTTGACCCATCGCAGTAATAACTCACATCGCGAGCTAGACTGGTGACCAGAGCGAGACGTCATGCGTCAACAGTTGGCATCGTGCAGTTAAACAATGTCGACCGCCATACGAGTCAAGGTGGTAGGTCAGTACGATGTCGGCTTGACGTAATGGAAAGTCGTAATGGGACAGAGCGGAGAAGAGCTGGCAATGCATGTAAATGCTGCCTCAAGGCTGTGTGTCACACTCGCGATGGGTCTGCTGCTGTGTTGGATGACGAGGAACAGAGAGCGAGGCAAAGGAGGCTAGGATGCAGCGAGGAAGCTAGTGGTGTGAGGAGTAGCGAGGTACAATAAGCTACAAGTGAACGAGTGAAGCGTGGGAAAAACCCCAAGTGAACCCAAGTGAGCCCTCTACGAGTTTGGTGGCGGCAAGCTACGATAAGTGAACAAAGTGAGCCAAATAAGTAACTTTATATTGCCTCCTAAGTTTCAGCGCTCTGAGTGTAACAGATCAGATCGTGGAGAATTAACCATGGCCAAAATGTTGATTGAACGCAAGGTATGCAACATGCCCACTTGATGTCACTCCCTAGTAGCCCTGGACACATTTTCCCTGGTGGCTGATGCCGAACTCGAGTTGCATCGCGAATATTGACAGTGACAGCCCGATGATGACGGGAGGTACCACGCGGTGCGACAGCCGTGCATCAATGTTTTCTGTTGCACATTACAGCATCTGCTGCTGGGAATCTTACTGGGACATAGAAATAATTCATTTATTCTCGCATTATAGGACGGACAGTGTACGCCAGCGGATTACTCCAACGCAGACTCGTTGTAACGCGCTAGTACCCTGCGTTTCTCTCGTCGAGGCATTTCTGTGATGACACAGCGAGCTAAAGTGCCGGTTGACTGTCTTGTCGTCTCTGGAGGTCGTCGTTCCGGGGTGTACAGAACAGATCAACTGGATGTTGTGATACCTCAATCGCGGAAGGGCCCTTACCGGACTCAGCTAGCGGACCTGCTTTGATCGTTCTGAGGCTTTGGACGGGTGAACACCGTGCTTCTGACATTGGCCCTTCTCGCCATCCGCACACTAGCCCCGACAGTGTGGTCCGAGTCCCGCATCCGGACTCTGATCTTTCATCAGGACAGTCGACACCTGGGAGTGTCGCGGTCGCAATCGCTTTGTCTTCAGGCGCCTGGAGAGAAGACGAGGCGGGATTTTCATGCGCCAGACTGCAGACTCATAGGGCGCTTAAGTGGACGTAACCCGCTGTGGCTGAAGCGGCTGAAGTGGCTGAAGGTGGCGTCCGCGTTGAAGTGCTCAGTCCGGGCCATGTAGTCAATCTAATGGACCTTAGCAACCATTTGCATGCTTGTGAACTTCTGCAAAAAATCTGGTTGAAGGGGGGGTTATCGGCTGCCCATTGTAGCGTCCAATACAATATCCCACTCCCTCCATACTGGGATCACAACAAACTTGAACTCACCTGCATTCGATATACAGAAGGGCATTGCAGAGCCGCGCTTCATCCTGAACGCCAAGAGTGTCATGATCATGGCAGTCAACGATGCGATGAGTACAAACTGCTCCTGGATAGTCATTAAAACGCGCGAACGATGACACGGTGCAAAAGACGCACACATATGCATGCCAGTTCATTCTGTATCTCTCCAAAAGTATTGGACGAACCTCTATACACTTCATACATGAAAACTTACACACAAAAAACCCTCTATACACATATCCAAGAACACTTCCGCACAAATCAAACCGCACCTCTACACTCCAACCCGCCCACCCCACCCGACCTTCACAGCTCAAGCTTAATCCGATGAAACATCTCCGCCCCCTTCCTCATCTCATCCACACTCCCCGGCCTCGCCACCCCTCCATCCAGCCCAAACGCCCTCACGCCCCTATACACAAACGGCGGTACCTCCCCAGGCACACAATTCACCGGCTCCACACCATAGTCCTCAAACGCCCATGGATCGCCGAGTGTCGCGGGCGGCGAGAGCACGATGGCGTTTTTCGATTCCATGGATACGTCTGCGTCGAAGTAGTTGAGCGGGGTGAGGAAAAAGCTGTGCGTACGCGGTCAGCGGGTGGTTCTGAACGTAGACGCTACCGCCCACCTAGACGCAGCGAGGTTCGTGCGCGTATTCGGCGAATCTTCCGCTTGAGGCTATCACGACGAACTACTCAGCACACGCAGATCACAACGACCGGACGTACACACCAAATGATGCATGCCAACGTTCACCCACGCGACGAGGTCTTCCTGCGTGATATTCTCCCCATCAAAGAACCTATGAAAATCCACCATCGGCGCGCCCGGCAAGTTCTGGTTCCACATGCTACTCGAAGACGGCTCGCTCTCCTTCCTCCTCGACACCGCGAGGTTGTACCGCGCCCAATTCGCATTGTTCAAAAGACGCTTCGAGCCCACGACCGTCTGCCGCCCCACCCATCCCAGCGCCCAGGGCACATCAGCTCAGTTCAGACCGCGTTAAGGAGGGACACGCACGTTACGCACGGGGTCATACCCCGGATGGATAGCGTACCCTCTCACGACGCCCCACCTATTGCGCTCCTCACGATTAACGATGGCATACCCGCCCTGGAAATTGGGCGGGAACGCGAGCAGCGCCTCGTCCTCGCTCTCGATAAACCTGCGCGTGATCTTCTGCTGAACGACCGTGGCGCCCCAATCGTCCTCGAGCCAGGGTTGCTCGACCTCCTCCTGCACGGTGCTCGTGAACAACAGCGAGTTCTTCTCGCCCACGATGTCCAGGTCGACCTGCATGAGGTGAGGTGGGGTGAGCGCACGAATGGAGACGGTGCGGAGAGAGTGTACTTTGTAGTTGATGACGTGGTCGTGTAGCGAGCCCACTGCCAGTCGCTTAATAACTCGTATCGCAAGAAGAACGGATGCTACGCACTGGTCGTGTCCCGGATGGGGGCACCATACCTATCCTGCGAGGGCTCCCAGAAGCCGCCCTGCAGGTACCCAGAGGCCGAGAGGCGAACCTCGATCGTCCCATCGAGGTGGAAGATGTAGTCAAACTGGCAGTCATCAATTAACACGGGTCGCAGTATAGACCATAACAGAAACCTACCACTGCATATCAGACATCGGGACCCTCATCAGCATCCCGCGATCACCACACCAAGTCCACTCACGATAATCATAACTATACCACCAGATCAGCACGCCAACGCAACGCATAAAGGCCTCCACGCACTTGCCAACGGTCGAGATACTCCTGACCACAAGCACATACCCCCTGACGGCCCCAAACTCGCCCTTCTCATACCCAGTATGTCGCGTGATCGGCCGGCCCGTATCCTGCTCGAAAACACAAACGGCGCGCTCGCGCGTGATGCTCCCCGCGAAGGAGTGCGTCGTCGCGGGGAGGAAGACCGCTTCGTGGGGGCAGTCGTAGCCGGGGAGCATGTCGCGGACGGAGGAGCCCTGTGCGGGATGAGCGGGGCGTTGCGGGGACGGGGTGATATAGGGGGGCGTACCATGCCGAAGTAGCGGTCGAGCCAGGCGGTCGTGGATTGCATCGGGTCGTTGCCCGCTGTGGCGTTCGTTCAACGTCTGGCATGATCACGGTTCTGCAACGCACGCACCATACTGCGCGATCGCCTCTTGTGGGGAAAGCTACGCACCCCATGAACAACCAGCAGCGACCATACACCGCGCTCACCTCATATATCAGTCTCTCGCCCCTGAAGCGGATGTCCCAGAAGCTCAAGCCCATATCGCGGTCGAACCCGAGGTACATCCCCCAGCCCATCCAGCTCACGTACTGAGTCTTCCTGTCGATTCTGAATCGGAGACCGGCGAAGGACACGGAGCGCGGGCCAGGGAGGTGGTCAAGGTCGCGTCGGGGGCCGTCAGGACGTTTACGCGTCGTCCACTCGGTGTCCTTCGAGTCGGGGCGTGCGGGGAGGCGCTTGAGCGTGCCGGTGCGGAACGCGGTCATGAACTCGTCCACGGTACCAAACACCTGGTGGTTGTACACGATCTAGCGCGGGATCAGCGGCGCGGCGCATGGGAAGGAAGGACTGACCTTGAGGAGCTTCCACTCGCGCGGCTCGGTGCCGGACATGTCGAGGTAGAGGAAGAAGCCGACGGGGTGGAGGTAGACCCCGGGGACGTTGCGCCGCCAGTTGATCCACGTGCGGCGGAAGGAGCCGTCAAAGCTGAGAGGACCGACCATGTTCGCGACGAGCGTGTCGTTCGCGAGTCCACGCGCGACGGCTCCGAACAGCTCCTGCGCGCGCGTCAGGTAAACGCGCTTTGCGAAGAGAGCGCACGCACCTGGGTCGCCTCTGCCATCGAGTACATCACTTCTGTTAGGATGGGATTGATCTCTGCAAACCCGGTGACGCCGCGGGCGTTGAACGGCACCGCGTCGCGGTGGTATATCTTTGTGAGCGCGCGCATGGAGGTCTTGTCGCTGACGGGGAGAGGCCCGACGAGGTAATCCTTGACGACGGGCTCCTCCGCCGCGCCATGATGGATCGTCACGCGTGCGTATCTCTCCGGTGCGCGGTTCGTGTGCGGGTCCGCGAGGTAGGCGAGGGCGTGCGCCTTGGGCGGGCGGAAGGCGCCGATGTGGAAGACGACGTTGTCCGAGAGGGAGACGCGCTCGGCGATGGTCAGGTTGAGGTTCCGTTCAGGGGCGTTGAGCCAGCGCGAGATGTCGACGGTCTCTTGGACGGTGAGCGATGCCCAGAGGTTGAGCGGAGCAGGCGGGGTGGCTGGCGGTGGGAGGCCGGACGCGCATTGCTTGAGCGGCTCGTGTGCAGCGTCGTCAGAGAGAGTGCGCGGGTAGGGCGGGAAGGCGTACAGCACAGAGACGGCGGCGGTGGCGAGGAGGAAGAGGGCGCCGAGGACGATGCGGCGCGTGCGGGGTCGATCGGCGGGATCGGGCTCGGGTTCAGATTTGAGCAGGCTGTATGCGCCCGCCATCGTGCTCTGCGTCGAACACGGTGAGCAGCGGATGCGAGGACATGCGGCGTGCTTATAAGCGTGCGAGCGCAGATAGCTCTCCGTCTACGGGCGCTTAGATAGTTCTCAGCACTCGTTTCTCAGCGCCCAACCCTCCCGTCGATGCTCTTCATAGTACTGTGCAACTGGCGGCGACCGCTCACCACCGTCTCATGGACCTTGAAGGCGGCTGGACTTTGTCACTGGTCAAGAGGTCAGAGGCTTTGGTGCCGCTGTGGCACTCTGCCCATCGCCCGGCGTTCAAGATATCAGCATTTACCAATTCATTGAGGCGTCTGGGGCTGCGTTTCCCTCCCGCCCTTGCTCGACTCGCTGTACAATCACCTTTCCAACATCCACAGGCTTCATTGCGCACGTCGAACAACGATCCCGTTCATGATGGCCAGACGTGAACTCAGCATAGGCTCTCACAACCCAGTCTGTTTCCTCGTCAGCTCAATCACGGTCACCGAATTAGCATGTTATGACAAACCCTTGATATCGCTGCCATGAGTCATCGGGCGCGGCCTTCGTAAGCATGACCTCTAAATTGATACATGTCATGGCTCTCTGGGGCCCGGTCGTTCGCAAGCTCACCGATATTTACGAGACCCGTATTTGTGAAGGTGGTGCACCAAAGTTCTGCGATTGATGCACTCGGCGTTCTGTGCCGAAGACCATGTTGACGCACAGAACGGTACGCTGGTATGATTGATCCTAAGAAACACATTCACAGCAGCTACTGGGATCAGCGTGCAAAGGTGCTGCTTGCAGATATTATTCTAATCTCACTTCAGCAACTTCCTCGTCTGCTTGATCGCATGCCTGAATGGTTATCGCGAGAGAACCGTGTAGGTTACTTCTCATCGTGATCATCTGATGTCCATGCACAATGAGCATCGTTCCCGGAGATAAGGCACACCTGGGTGTTGAACCGGACTCACTACCAAGATCCTTGATTGCCACGCTCCTACCAGCTACGCACCATAGTGAAGTACGGCAGCAAACGCGCCACTTTACATTGCTGTATACGAGTGAGGCCTCAACAAGTGTCAGGTTGGGGAACAAGTCAGCGAGGAAGATGGCGACCTTGACTGGGTTGTCTACCGGCCCCGCCTCGCTCAAAACTGAGCGATTGCGACATCGACAGCTCCTTTGCCTGGCCTGACGCCATGCGGAACTTGCGTGTCTGAACCAACAACATCGAGCGTCAGAGTGTCGCCAAGCTCGGAGCAGCGCTCGACGAAAAACACTAGGCATGATTAGTTTCTGATTATTTCGAAGAACTTGACGGAGTCCGCTGCGTAACGTAGAGAGTCGTGGCCAGGGCAATGCCACATTCATAACACCTTGATCCCCGGATTGTCCCACATTGCAAGCCCATCTTGAGAGGTTTAAGGCGTCAAAGAGAACACAACCATTGCAATTGCAATTAGCGTGACGTCCAAAATTTCATGCATCTCCCGTGCTGTTAAGGTGACTTATTCTAGATGTCCACGGGACGCCTCATCATTCCTGGAGAAGAAGTGCACCTGGGGATTGAACCGGACTCACTACGAAGAACCTTAATCGCCACGACAATACCAGCTACGGGTCGTACTGAAGTACGGCAGCCAAAGCGCCAGTTTGCTCCACATTTTTGTATACGGACGAGGCATCAACAAGCGCTAAGTTGGAGATCCAAGCCAGCAAGGAACATGGCAACCCATCGACCGGTCTCGCGTCGCTTTCAAACTGAGCGATTGCGACATTGACAGCACCTTTGCCTGGCCTGACGCCATGCGGGAGTTGCCTGTCCGAGCCAGCAATGTCGAGCATCAGAGGTCGTCAAGCTCAGCGCAGCCCCCGACGAGAAAAACTAAGCTGGATAGGTTTGTGATTGGTTCAGAGAACCGAGAGTGACGTGCAGTCGTGGCCAGGACAATGCCATATTCATAAGAACTCGTTCCTCCGGTTTGTCCGAGCACTGCAAGCCCATCTTGAGAAGTTTCGGGTTTCAAAGAGAGTACGGCCATTGTAATTGCAGATAGCGGGACGTCCGAAATATCATCCATTCCCTGTGCTGTTAGGGTGACTTTTTCTAGAGATTCACGGGACACCTGATTATGGATCGCTTCCAAGAAGCGACTAGCTGTGGCCAACAACAGTAGTACACTGCAGCTATTATACTCCGTGAGTAAGCAACTGGAAGACTTCAATCGCGAGACATGGGAGAGAGGATCGGCCTCAGCACCTCAGAAAGCGCGGTCAGGCTGGAGAACGACAGGTAGAAGCCAAGGATGGGGTAGAATGTCATATTATTGATGGCTCTCCTTGTTATTCGACGGGAGCATAGACAACGAGGACAGCTAGATCTAACAGCCTTTGAGAGTGCAAAGGATCGTAGCGCCACAATGCCCAAACGCCATATGTCACAGGTCACGAGAGAGGTGTCACGAATCAACATCACGTCGCGGTGCTGGCCACACGGTCCCCCAGACCAACGCTTCTCCATGTCTCTCGTGCTGGCTGAGCAGATATCAGTTTCTAGTATCCTGCTGGTTGAAAATAAATGACCAGATGTTAGCTCTGTTCTCCTCTGGAATTGACGGTATCACAGCTGGAGTTCAAGGCGCAACCTATCGCGTACTATACAGTCAAACGAATGCTCCAACGATTGCCCAACCTTTTCCTCTGCTCTCTATCTCTGGCCCTCTCACTATGGCTGTGCAATTTTGCGGTCACGCTTTTCAGGCTTTTATCAGCAATCTGATTCTCCAAAGCATCTTCAGGGTGCTCAGAACTGTCTGCCCAGACGGGCACGAAAGAGCAGTCCGCAACGGTTCGGGCCTAAAAACACGTGGGCTTTTGCTCTCCTTCTCGGCTAACAATTGAGCTCAGCGAAACCGCCACGTTGTCCTTTGCTGCCACCGCCTGAAACTCGGCAGCCACTTCGTGCCACTCAACACTCCGGCTATTTCAAAGATATCCTTTCCTGGTTGCTCGGGCCACTGAACGATGTCCACGCTGCCGATACTGGGCCTGGATTGGCGAAAAACATGCCAGTGGCATCTATTCTTCCCACAAGCCACTGGGCTGCCTCGCCTCGTGCCTCATGCGATTCTTCCTCGACCGCCCTATATAAACCCACAAAAGATGGAGGATCCTCTCATAACTCGGTGAGCCCTCATAGCCCCATCCATGTCCAACCCGGTCTATTCATCATCCTACTCGCAAGAGACGTACTTGCTGCCCTCCAACCCGACCGCTCGGGGCGTGTGGCGATATGTCTCTTTCACGTACCGTCCCGTCGTCTACTATCCCAACCTCTGGACATACCAATACCTTCCACCCGCGGTCAACATCCTGGAAGATACTCGATACTTCTGGCCGCAGGTGCCCGACATGCCTGTGGCCCCCATGTATCCCGCGCAGCATCAACCCGACTTGCCGTTGTATCCCACTACATATCTAAACCAACAAACTCAATACACGGCATACTCTCTAACGATCAACGATCCGCCCGTATTCCATTCGCCAATGCCCGTCGGTAATATGGAGCACGAGGATCCTGCATCGTATTCTGTGCAGGCGCCCGAGGACATGTCGACCGCGACCGCCACCGCCACCGCGACTTCCCCCGATGTCGACTGCCCTGACGAGAAATCAGAGTCCGGATGCGGTGCCACGCTTTCGGAGCCCGAGAGCAGTGCACGGACGGCCAGAAAGCCCAATGCCCGGAGGCACCGCGCTCGCCTGCCCAAAGCTCCAAAAGCTCCAAAGCAGGTACGCCTACGCCAACCCTTCTCTCAGAGCGTTCTGTGAACTGATGGATCACATCGTCCAGTTCACGTGTCCTGTATGCCCGGCAACGACGATCTCTGGAGACGACAAGACAATCAACCGGCACTTGAACTCGCTGCGTCATCGTAGGAATGCCTCGACGCGAGCAACGGAGGACAATATCGTGCATGGCGAGTCCGCGTCGGAGTAATCTGCCGATGTGCACTGTCCGTCACGTTCTGCCACAAAACGTGAGTGGCGATGCTCTTGTTGGCACTTACGCGGGCTGACATATGTCCAGGTTTCATTCTGGTAGAAATAACTCTACGTTGACATATTGCAACGAGACGTGCTGTTTCGGCTGATGACGGGCTGAGTTGTATTCCGTTAAGTGCTAGCAGATATTATCCGAGAATACATGAATTATTTCTATATCACAGTAACAGTTCCAGCAGCAGATGCTGCAACGCGCAACAGAAAACATTGATGCGTGACTGTCGCACCGAGTGTGGTATCTCCCGTCATCATCGGGCTGCCACCAGCACCGCTCCTCGCGATGCGCCTCGACCTTAGCATCAGCTGCCAACACGCGCGTTAGAGGCCACATCACGTGGTCGCGTTGTATTCTGCATTCCTCGCATTCCGCTTAAGGTTGGCTCAAAGTCGGCGTTTGGGCTAAACAAGACAGTACGGGAGAATAGTGAAACATGCACTAACAACTCACCTGTTCTTTCAGCGACTAATGCCCTGGCCTGCGTGCTGCGGAAGCAATCCCCAACAGCGCATCACAGCTCCATCAAAACTGTCTGACGAGTGGCTGCATATGTTCCTGGCGTGAACTATAGATGTCATTTGAATGCTCCAGTAGCGCATACTGGACGGTGAGCAGTACTTTTGGTAGTTGAGCTCTGGTTCCAATTCATCGCGAGAAATTGACAGTGTTGGTCGAAGACCTCGTGCAGGGGTCTCGCTAGCTGGATGTACAACCCGCAGCCAACACTAGGTCGGTAAAGAGTAATCGTGCCATCTCTGCTTGTAACGAGCGTGCAGTTGTTCTCGACAGGGACTATTTCCATGGTCTGGTGCGTGCATTTTGAGTCCGTAGTAATGGAGAATCCGAGCTACTGAAACATTTATCAGAGTCACCTGCCACGATCTAATGCATACATTGCTACACCAACAACACTAAGTTATCATATGGAGAAAGTACGAGCCCGACTCCCACCACATAATGGCTGCCTGCCGCCATATATACAAAGCATCACCGAAGCAACCCACACACACATCCCTTCGCCATTGTGAGTCTTCTATAATGTTACTCGCAAAGTTGCCTCTCGTCCTCGCCAGCACTCTATCCGCTTTTTTGACTTCCAGTCCGCCGAATCCTAGAGTCCCTGCCGATGCGAGACCGAAGGCTTTGCCTCCCTTCGAGCGATTTCTCTCATCTGCTATACACTCCATTGCCGTAGTGCTGAGCGTGCGTCTAGCTTGGTACTCTATCTATGCTTGGATTGCGATGCTGATAACGTCTGGATGCACTACTAGACTCTGATCCTCCTCGGAGGAAGCATGGAAGTGCTTGTCATATTGGCGAGCACCTTTCCAGATCAACGTCTCTCGCAGATGATTCTCAAGACCCTGGTCAACGGGCCAACATCTCTCACCAAGAACATCAGCATATCTACTACATTCGTTATCGGTCTCGGCCTCGAAACTCTGGGAGGGATCATACGCCGTTGGTGCTACCGCACCCTCGGACGCCATTTCACACTAGAAGTGACCATCCTCGAGAAGCACCAACTCGTCACCTCAGGACCATACGCCTACGTCCGTCATCCAAGCTATCCCAGCGGAATCGCCAGTCTTGTTGGATGGGGGATGTGGATGACCAGTCCGGGCTCGTGGTTCGTAGAATGCGGTGTGATCAACACGCTTGTTGGACGGATTTGTCTGTTGGTTTACATAGCTATCACTTCTTTCTGTGCAGTTAGTCTTGTGCATAGGTCGTATGATGAAGATCGTTTATTGAAGAAGCAGTTCGGAGAGGAATGGGAGGAGTGGGCGAAGAGAGTCCCTTGCCGAGTAATTCCTTATATTTACTGAGCTCTGATCTATAGACGTATCCCGTATATGCTTATGACTTAATATTGAAATAATTTTCGAACCATACTGTAGCAGGATGCGAACTGTCTGCATGACTGACTTCGTATCATCCAGCCATGCAAACTTCGAAGCTGTTGCGAGATTCACCTCACTGAACGGTATAATACATGCATTCACCGTGGACGTGCGACCGGTAACTCCAAGACATCATCTAGTATTGCTTGCTGTGACTTTCGCAGGATTCATCGAATGATAACGTGCCAGGGCATACTGCAGAGACTGCACAGTCTTGAAGAATCCGATTCTATGCACGGGCCATCCCTTGGTGCCGATGAACAACACTGGGAGGAGATGATGAACATGTGCCTTCTGTCTTATCTGGTATCCTCCTGAAACTTTCGGAAGGCTGGAGAAATACACTGTTGCAATTTGAAGGCCAAATGGTTTGATTGCCACGAGAGCTACGCTCGGAGCTCCGTCCGTCACGTCCTTTACCATGCCATATTCCCACCAGTGCTCAGGTTCTACATTTCTACAAAGCGAAAATGAATATAGAGAAGTCAAGCAGAGACACTGCTTCGGACGTCGAGAGCAGCATATTGAATTGCAATATCACTGGCAGGAGACGCTCGACAACGGGATTCAGCAATGCGTGTGGAGAGACGACGTAAGCAGCGCTGCGTGTCCAAATGACATTGAAACTCACCAATGGCGTGCATCGCATCTGCATACATCTAGGCACACTGAAAGACGGGGGAATTGTTGAAGCTATCAAACGCGCGTGCACGCTTCGTCATGGAGGAAAGCAGGAGTGCGGTGAGTCCGCGCCGGTATAACCTCGAACCTTTATAAAGTAGTCTTCGAACGTATCGCCGTGTGGAGATGGCAGCGGCATCCTCCTATCTGCATGACGGACGATTGGCGGATGCTCGAACGCGACATGCTCGACCAGCTCGATAATCTCACACCTGGCACTACTTGCCCGGATGTGGATCCGTAAAGAATCTGTTATTGCTCCCCTCAATGTCCCCGAGCGAATATCTTCCAGGCACTAGGGGAGGACGGTTGGAGTGATCTTCTCCAAGTGGCAGTCGAATTGCAAGGAAGGAAGTCGGAAGGTAGGCGGCTGCTCTTTTAGTTGATCGCGCTGTGTTGCGCCGCGAACTACGATGTTCTGTCCACCTGCCATTCTTTTTCGACATCGTCATCGATAGTCATTCGCAGGGGATTGCAACACGGCATCTTTACCACAATATGGCATCTGCTCTGTCCATATGGCTGATGGCACGCGACCTATGCTCATCCTCACAAGGTCACTTCAATCATCACTTTGAGCTTCTCCGCAACGTCCGAACAAACGCCCTTTGATACAACAGCGCCCTCTGCGTTTCTCTGAAGTAATTCATACATAGAGAGAAACAGTTCCTCTCAATTACTTCAAATTTCGACCGCAATTCTTTACCATCTTATGTTACTCGCGAGACAATACTGTGAGTGCATTCTCGATATGCTATGTTGGGATACTCATATCTCCAAGCTAGCCTCAGATGGTGGTCCGCTTATCGCGCCTCGCGTCATATGAGTAGTCCCAAAATATAACAACGTTGAATGCTGCCCCGTGCATCCGGTTCTCAGCTCTTGCTCACCGATCGCATTCAACCTGGATCGCCCCGCCTCCATGCTAGACAGCACGAGTCACTCTGAAAAGGTTCACGTCGCGCCGGCTCTGCCCACCGTCATGGAGCAGATCCAGAAGGAGGATAGATTTGACGAGAAGAAGAGGACTATCTCTGACGGGGTAGAGGAGGTGCCTTCGCACGATGATCATGACGATGGCGCTGTGCTGGACTTCGGCACTGACGATCCGTTCCCTATGGATCCCAATGCGACAGAAGAACAGCAGTTCACGTTTCGGGCCGTGTTCGTCGGATGCGCACTCGGTGCTGTGATCTCTGCTAGCAAGTGCGCGTACACTTTCCTTTGATCGCTATTCGGGCTCACGCCATTACATTTTAGCGTGTATCTCGGACTGAAGACTGGATGGACGTTCGGCGCGTCCATGTTCGGGTCAATTTTCGGTTTTGCAATCCTCAAGCCGCTCTCTAAAGCACTGCCAGAGAGGTTTGGTGGCGGATACTTCGGTCCCAAAGAGAACCTTTGCTGCCAGAGTGCTGCAACGGTACGATAGCTTTCAACCCTTCGAGAGCCAAATTGATGCATTTGGTGTAGGCTGCAGGCTCCTTGGGACTTCTCTTCACCTCTGGATTCCCGGCTGCCTATCAACTCGGATTGCTTGGCGAGAACCCATCTGCTGACTTCGGGTAGGCATATCATTACCAAGAGCTATAACGATGATGAGATGAATCCTTCAGGCGCCTCATCACGTTCACGATTTGCTGTGCCTACGTCGGCATCTTCTTCACCATGCCTCTGCGCCGCCTCTACATCCTCAAGCTCAAGCTCACCTTCCCGAGCTCTGTGGCTACCGCCTACACTATTCATTCCCTCCATGTAGGCACGCACGCAGCCGCCATCGCGCGCAAGAAGACCTGGGCGCTCGCCATCTCGTTCACAATCTCCATCCTCTGGCGCGTGGTGAGCGAGTATGCACCCGGAATCATGTGGGACTGGCACTGGAGCTGGTGGTTCTATCGCGCGGGGTGGAAATGGATCATTTGCGCTGAGAGCTGGGTGGGCTTTACCGCTAAATCGTTGCTGCGCTATATCGTATATATTGACTCTTTCGGTAGGGATGGGTTTGGGAGTGGACGCCCGCATTCATCGGCTGCGGCCTGCTCGTCCCGATGAACAGCTCCGCCTCATTCGTGGGCGGTGCACTGCTCGCATGGGCCATCATCGGCCCCGCACTCGTCGCCACGGGCAAAGCCTTCGGCGAATCCTACTCGTCCCAGTACCCTGGCTATATCGACTACTCGAACATGGTGCTCAGCGATCCCATCCACACGCCCTCGCCCGAATACTGGATGATTTGGCCTGGTTGCCTCCTCCTTCTCACCTCCAGTGTCGCGGAGATCGCCGCGAATTACAAAACGATCGTCACTGCGTTCTCTGTCCTCCTCGAGCCTGCGATGCGGCGGCTGCGTCTTGATAAGGGGCGTGTGTACGAGAAAGAAGATGGATTCTATGATCCTGTCCCGGAGGACCAGCAGACGCCGTGGTGGATGTGGGTCGGCGGGCTAATCGCGAGCACTATCCTGACGATGTGTGTGATGAAGTATCAGTATGGCCAAAACCCCGGTATTACCCTTCTTTCGATCATCTTCGCATTCATCTTCTCCCTGGTCGGCGCCGAGTGCGTCGGGCGCGTGTCAGTAAACCCGGTGACTACCCTCGGCAACTTCTCTCAGCTTGTGAGCGACACTAACATGCACTGCAACGCGTCTCCGCTGATCAGCCCTGCAGATCTTCGGCGGAATCTCGAAAGGATCGGGTCTCTCGCCCACAAAGAACCAGCTCAACAATGGCCTCACAGGCATGATTACCCTTGCTGCTGCGGAACAATGCTCAGACATGCTCGGCGATCTCAAAGCGACCCACCTCCTCGGCGCAGCGCCCCGCGTACAGCTCTACGCACAGTGCTTCGGTGCGCTCATCTCCATCTTCCTCTCCACCGCGATGTACGTCGTCTTTTCGAAGGCGTACCCGTGCATCAACACGCTCTC